TGCCATTGCCTATATACAAGTACCTGGAATATTTTATATTGTGCCCTTGATATTTATTTCTCAAAGACGATTTTGGGAATGTTGTAGTGAAAGAAAAAAGTTGTATTGAAGACACTTAGAGTCTCTAAATACTCATTACTTTTTTAACTGGACAAGATTAGAAAATCATAACTACAAGCCTCGGGACCTCTGGGTTAAGTATTATTCCAGATCAGATATTACCTGACTTAGAGATTTCCCCCGATGGGATAAAGTCATGAAAGTGGGGAATCGTTTGTGTGGTAGTTGTTGCATCACAATTAGCTTCGCCAACATCAACCAACCAGCCAACCAACCAACCAATCAACCAACCAATCAATCAACCAACCAAACAGTGAACAAAGAAACAAACAAATAAACAAACATCCCATCATAAACAAAAATATAAACCACCAAACAACCTGTGAATTTTGATGGTTATAGCTACATGTAGTCAAACACAAGTATTATACAAATATAGAATCCCAATAGAACTCGCTATATTCCAAAGGCCACCTAATAATTTAAATAGAACTCCTCACGATGACGTCAGATGTATAGAACTTTTTCATTTGAATGTCAGTAGGTAAGATTTTTTTCATTTAAATACTGGCAGTTGGCAAACCGAGATATAGTATAGTAGGAACAAGGGGTTCCCATGCACCCATAAGGTGTGAATAAGTTACATACATTTTTGTAGTCCCTAGGGTGTCTATTTAATGAATTCATTTGTTAACATTGCCAACTAATGTCCCATAGTACTTTTATGGCGGCATTCAGTTACCATGGTTACGCATCTTTAGACATCTTACCTTGGTATCTTAAATCATTTGTAGCTCTGTCATTATTTGGTCTATAGAAATGATATTGGTACCAAATTAAACCTCGTTAAATTTCCAATAAATTTCTGATATTCAATTATGCAAATTATCTAATTTGCATAAATTATGACGTCATCAATCTATTTTTGGTTCAGAATTTCCAACTATAGCAACGTATCTATTAGAACTGAGGCCGTATGGCAAAATTTTTGAAAGGTTTTGTCCTTTATTCTATTAGTAGAAGGTATAAGCAACATAAAAGTGAAAACAGATTCAAAATTGAATCAGTATTTCGAAAGTTATGTAACTTTCAAGGCAGCTATCGTGAATGTCATTATTTGACAATAATATACATACGTCTTACCTTGGAGTCTTGAATCAATGTAGCTTCGCCACTATTTGGTCTATAGAGATGATATTGGTATCTGATTAAACCTTATTAAATTTACTATATGGTTACAATATCAAGTTATGCAAATTAGCTAATTTGCATTAATTGTGACGTCATCAATCCATTTTTTGTTCAGAATATTGTAGTATAGCAACATATCTATTAGAACTGAGGTCGTATGACAGAATCTGTGCATAGTTTTGTCCCTTATTTGATGAGTGGAAGATATAAGCAACATTAAAGAGACAGCAAATCTTCAAAATTGGATCAGAATTAACAAAATTATCCAGCTTTGGAGGCAGCTACTATGAACGTCATTGTTTGACAATTATAAAAAGAATATTAAATTAACAAAAAAAGTAACAACCATAGTTGTTTCAATCTTATTGAGTAAAAATGTGCATGTATTGAACTGAACTAATAAGTATGTGGAAAGGTTACATGCATTTTGACTATCATTCACAGGGGTCAAAACGGTTATCTCGACCCTGTATATTAAAGATCCAATCTTATAATTTACCATGCACTTTCAATGATTCATATAAATAGTATATATATAGTCTGATTTTCATCATATTCTTCATATTCTTGATTCTTAAAGCATCTGAAGTATATAGCATGATTAGAAGTGAAGATGATTCATCATATGGTTTATGTAATATTTTTAACATTTCAGATGCTATGGTAACATCACTTGATAATGAGGTTTTTACATTTCACGTTCTTAATGAGTTAAAAGGAAGTTATTCTCCCTTTGCTTTAGAGATAAATAGTCGCATGAATTTGTTTAGAAAAATTATAACTTAATCAATTTAACCCCCCCCCCCCTGACAGCCCCCATATTTGAAGATTTTGGTGAAACCTGGCAAAATACATTAATTATTAGGTTCCAGAAGCCCCCAGAAGCTATATGATGGCCCCCAGTGGCCCCAAGAATATTTACAGGGGCCCCAAGTGGCCCCCAGAAGCTACACTGTGCTCCCAAGAAGCTATATGTTGGCCCCAGAAGCTGAATAGTGGCCCCCAGGAGCTATACGGTGGCTCCCAGAAGCTATACAGGAAACCCTGTGGCCCCCAGGAGCTATACGGTGGCGCCCAGAAGCTATACAGGGGCCCCCAGTGGCCCTAAAAAGCTATACGGTGGCCCCCAGAAGCCATACGGGGGCCCCCAGAAGCTATACTATGGCCCCCAGAAGCTATACAAGGGCCCCCAGAAACTATACTATGGTCTCCAGAAGCTATATGGTGGCCCCCAGTGGCCCTGGGAAGCTATATGATGGCCTCCAGAAGCTAATTAGTGGCCCCCAGGAGCTATACGGGGGCTCCCAGAAGCTATACAGGGGACCCCAGTGGCCCCAAGAAGCTAAACGATGGCCCCCAGAAGCTATACAGGAGCCCCAAAAAGCTACAGGATGGCCCCAATGGCTCCCAGAAGATGTGAAGGGCCCCCAGTAGCCCCTAGAAGCTATACGGTGGCCCTCATAGGCTATATGATGGCCCCAAGAAGCTAAATAGTGACCCTCAGGAGCTATATGGTGGTTCCCAGAAGCTACACAATGGCCCCCAGAATCGATATGGTGGCCCGCAATGGCTCCCAGAAGAGAAGCTATAAAGGGCCCCCCAGTAGCCCCTAGAAGCTATACGGTGGCCCCCAGTGGCCCCGAAAGCTATATAGTGGCCCCCAGAAGCTATACAGGGGCCCACAGTGGCTCCCAGAAGCAATGCAAGGGCCTGCAGAAACTGTACTGTAGCCCCCAGAAGCTATACAGGGGCCCCCAGTGGCTCCCAGAAGCTATACGATGGCCCCCAGAAGTTATGCAAGGGCCTGCAGAAACTATATGGTAGCCCCCATAAGCTATACGATGGCCTCCAGAAGCTATACAGTGTCCCCCAATGGGCCACCATATAGCTTTGGGGGCCACCGTATAGCTTCTAGGGGCTACTGGGGGCCCTGTATAGCTTCTGGAAGCCATTGGGGGCCATCATATAGATTCTGGGGGCCATGGTGTAGCTTCTGGGGGCTGCTGTATAGCTTCTGGGGGCCATCGTATAGCTTCTTGGGGCCACTGGGGTTCCCTGTATAGCTTCTGGGTGCCACCGTATAGCTCCTGGGGGCCACTAATTAGCTTCTGGGGGCCATCATATAGCTTCTGAGGGCCACCATATAGCTTCTGGAGACCACAGTATAGTTTCTGTGGGCCCTTGTATAGCTTCTGGGGGCCATCGTATACCTTCTGGGGGCCACTTGGGGCCCCTGTATACATTCTTGGGGCCACTGGGGGCCATCATATAGCTTCTGGGGGCTTCTGGAACCTAATAATTAATGTATTTTGCCAGGTTTCACCAAAATCTACAAATATGGGGGCTGTCAGGAGGGGGTTAAATTAAGTTATAATATTTTAAACAAATTCATGTTACTATTTATCTCTAAAGCAAAGGGAGAATAACTTTCTTTTAACTCATTAAGAACGTGAAATGTAAAAACCTCATTATCAAGTGATGTTACCATAGCATCTGAAATGTTAGAAATATTACATAAACCATATGATGAATCATCTTCACTTCTAATCATGCTTTATACTTCAGATACTTTAAGAATCAAGAATATGAAGAATATGATGAAAATCAGACTATATGTATACTATTTATATGAATCATTGAAAGTGCATGGTAAATTATAAAATTGGATCTTTAATATACAGGGTCGAGATAACCGTTTTGACCCCTGTGAATGATAGTCAAAATACATGTAACCTTTCCACATACTTATTAGTTCAGTTCAATACATGCACGTTTTTACTCAATAAGATTAAAACAACTATGGTTGTTACTTTTTTTGTTAATTTAATATTCTTTTTATAATTGTCATTTAATGACGTTCACAGTAGCTGCCTCCAAAGCTGGATAATTTTGTTAATTCTGATCCAATTTTAAAGATTTGTTGTCTCTTTAATGTTGCTTATATCTTCCACTCATCAAATAAGGGACAAAACTATGCACACATTCTGTCATACGGCCTCAGTTCTAATAGATATGTTGCTATACTAGGATATTCTGAACCAAAAATGGATTGATGACGTCACAATTAATGCAAATTAGCTAATTTGCATAAATGAATATTGTAACCATATAGTAAATTTAATAAGGTTTAATCAGATACCAATATCATCTCTATAGACCAAATAATGGCGAAGCTACATTGATTCAAGACTCCAAGGTAAGACGTATGTATATTATTGTCAAATAATGACATTCACGATAGCTGCCTCGAAAGTTCCATAACTTTCGTAATACTGATTCAATTTTGAATCTGTTTTCACTTTTATGTTGCTTATACCTTCTACTAATAGAATAAAGGACAAAACCTTTCAAATATTTTGCCATACGCCCTCAGTTCTAATAGATACGTTGCTATAGTTGGAAATTCTGAACCAAAAATAGATTGATGACGTCATAATTTATGCAAATTAGATAATTTGCATAATTGAATATCAGAAATTTATTGGAAATTTAACGAGGTTTAATTTGGTACCAATATCATTTCTATAGACCAAATAATGACAGAGCTACAAATGATTTAAGATACCAAGGTAAGATGTCTAAAGATGCGTAACCATGGTAACTGAATGCCGCCATAAAAGTACTATGGGGCATTAGTTGGCAATGTTAACAAATGAATTCATTAAATAGACACCCTAGGGATTACAAAAATGTATGTAACTTATTCACACCTTATGGGTGCATGGGAACCCCTTGTTCCTACTATACTAATACATTCTAAACCAAGATGTGGACGATTGCTTTGGGACTCCTAGTGTTGGCTAAAATTGCAGTGTCTGCCCCAACAGGTAAGTCATCTCTGTTTTTTATGTGGGCGTGGAGGCTCGAGGACCATATAGAAACGAGTCTCTAAATGTGATATTTTCCTTAAAATGCAGTATATTAGACCCATATAAGGTCAGAAAAAATCTTGTGTCTGGTCTTATCTATTGTCCAGTGGCTAATGTAAAGAATGCAGTATATTAGACCCATATAAGGTGAGAAAAAAATCTTGTGTCTGGTCTTATCTATTGTCCAGTGGCTAATGTAAAGAATCCTGACAAGGAACAGAAAGCTAGGTGGTCGGTTCCAATCCCTTCGAGGAGAGTGGCATTTCATTAGGCTTAGAATAAAATTTGATCCTGTGCTTGAGATAAAATGATTGTATTAAACTGTTAAAGTCTCAGTCACATTTGCTACTTCGACCGTACGGTCTATCATTTCTGCGGTCAGTAACATTTCTACGTTTCTAAAGTTTCAATCTCAATTTGTATTATACATTCTACAGGGTGGGCCAAAAACGCCACTTTTTTCAAAATGCTATAACCTTTTTAATTTTTGATCCTAAATCGTAATTTGCATACCAAATGAAACTTGAAGATGCAAGTTAACCACAGATTATGAATTGTATACTTTTACTTGAATAAAATATGTCATCAGCGTGCGTCTCACTTAAACATGTGGGGTACAATGAGAATTGAAAAGAATTTGCATAATGTACCTGATCTGATATGGCCTGGTGACCACCGGGCTAATAATAATAAAGGCTATCTGATCAAAGAGGGTGGCGGACCAATGGAAATCCTCTTTTAGATCAAATATAATCCAGGTTGAAGGACTTGTTACATTATTTTGTTACTTAGGACCCCTGGTACTATATAACTTCAAAATTCGGTGTATGTAGGTTGGAAAATGATAAAGTTATAGTATCTTGAAAAAAGTGGCGTTTTTTGATTTGCTCATGAGTCGCGAAATACCACTTTAATTGGAATTAGAAGATCGCTCGTGAAAAATCGAATCGGGAAATCATATTTGTGATGACTATTTCTTTGCTCTGGTCAATGCCTTAGAAATTTTTATGGCTTTACATACCTTGCGGGGTTGTCCACCGAAAGTGTCAAGCATGAGTTTTCAAAAGAAAGTTATCCATGTTTCGAGGAAATAGACGACGAATTGACTCCGTCGGAGTCGCCTCCATTTGCGTCTGTTACGCGTTGCAGCCTCGTTTTTATGGTTGGCCTATTAGTATAAAGAATGCATGCGTTGTTTACGGGTGTGTAGGCGTTAATTACGCTCGTGCAAATGTTAAATTACGCCCGTACAGACGTAAAATTACACCCGTGCAGACGTAAATTACGCCCGAGCAGACGTAAATTACGCCCGTATAGGCGTAATTTACGCTCGTGAAAAAGTTAATTCTACAGGCGTTTGAATACCATATACAGGCGTAAAGTGACGGCGTTAAAAAGGTTAATTGCGGGCGTCAAGACGTTATTTAACACGCGCTGAGTAACATCTTCGCGCCCGTCCAGTTTATGTTTAACGCCGTAAATTATGAACCAATCAACGCCTTGCTTACATAATGATACAATGCATTCTGGGAAAAGAGTAACTCCGAGAACAAAAATGGCTGCCACTTTTTTTTGGGGAGTGGTGACTTAGACAATGTCTTGAGACATCACCTGTATTAAACACGCACATGTCATGCAATCTGTGTTTATGGTGAGAGGTCTCGGTCGGGGGGCCTGGCAGACAAGGTCTAGTAGCCAAGCTTCCCCTAGCCACCGTCAGTACTCATGTGACGGGTAGTGTATATTTGGTAGATCCTAGGGTAATGACATTGGTGTGTTATTCCCTATCTTCATTCACGTAGAGAGATTCTGAGATTCAATGAACAACTAGAAACTACTTCATCAGAACCAAAGAACAACACAAGGCTAACGCCCATCATACCAGGTGTACTTCTCACACTAGAGATCTCACTATGTATGAATAGGTACCAAAACCTATTGCATATACTAATAATGTACACAAATACATTGAACTATTAACTCCACCAAGAATTAACGAATATGTACCTACAATATAATACCCCAAACCACTAACTTGTATCTAAACTCCACGATACACCAAAACACAATCCGGCATAACCTGCCACTCAATACATGACCTATCACAACCAACCATTACAACCAAGCACAACCTAGAAGATCGCCAACAACGCAACACAGCCAATGTCAGAAGAATTAGAACACAACTCGACTCCCAACTACCAAGAGCACAACCAACTGTCAAATTGTCACAACACAATTTGGCACAACCACACAACAAAACCAAACTATCAAAACACAATTAGGAAACCTATCACAACCAACCATTACAACCAAGCACAACCCATAAGATCACCAACAACGCAACACAACCAGTGTCTGAAGAATTAGAACGCAACTTAACTCACAACTACCAAGAGCACAACCCACTGTCAAATTATCACAACACAATTTGGCACAACAACACAGCAAAACCAAAGTATCAAAACACAATCAGGAACAACCAAACTAAAATCTCAACACACACAACCAACTTTCTCGAACTAGAGATTACAACAATTTCACAACACAACTGAACACAACCAAAAACCTCACCCGAGTAGGCACAACCGACCACCTATCATAACATAACCGGGCACAACCCGCCACCACCCATCATTTAACAATCAGGCACAATCAACCACAAAACACAATCAGACTCAACCAGATACCTCACCCGACTGGGCACAACCTGCCCCCGACCAGCATAACATAATCACAACATAACACAACGCATTTTAAAATTAACATAACACAATGAGGCACAATTCGAAACTAGTCTAAAACAAAACAACCAGACACAACCCAACTTCAAGCCAACAGCCCAATACGGCACAACCCAATACTACAACCCTATTTTAACTTCCGAAAACACAGCCAATTGTCAAATATACGCAACACAATTTGGCACAACCAAACAACAAACCAACACAATACAACATAGCCAACGAGACCAAAGTCAAATCAACCCATTGTTGAATCATCATAACACAACCAAACGCACATCAACTCAACAAATTGAAAACACCACAAAATACCACAAAATACAACCAAACACGAACAAGGCAACAACCCTTTATATACACACATTATCAACATATAACATACATGACCATATGGCTTAACCACAAACCAAACCAAACCAAAATTCATCAATAGACTGACCACGCCTTTATGCAATAAACCAATACGCATAAACAACCACCCCCCTCCCGCTAAAAACGAATACGGGAAACCTATTATAATACAACTGAATGATAAAAATAATACAGCATTATCATTCACAATAATTAGAGGTTATGTCACTATCGTGGCATATATGCCCGAGGTCTCAGTGATATATGGCCCGACCTTGGGAGGGACATTGATCTCTGAGAACCGAGGGCATATGTGCCACGATAGTGACATAAACGATTTATAACATACCTATGATGATGTAGACTGGTCAGAGAGTACCGTTTTCTTATAGAATTGACAAACAAATGGTTTGAAAATGATTGAAATGAGTTTAGAAAAATTGCTCACGCAGTTTTATCTTCGATTGATTGGTTATGACGTCAGCGCCTTGACCAATCAGAAAGTTAGCGGGCGCGGGCTTTTCAAAACTTATATTGGCCCGCTGTCTTGTGCACACTTTGCACTATACATCATCATAGGTATGTTATAAAATCACATACAACATTAATTCGGCCGCTGAGGAAGAACAATCATGGGATACCCCCATGAGTTCGAAACATCTTGGGCCCTTATAATGACCAACATATAAGGGAGAAGATCCGCTACAGGATCGGGATGTCCGGCCTCTCTCTACGTGAATGAAGATAGGGAATAACACACCAATGTCATTACCCTAGGATCTACCAAATATACACTACCCGTCACATGAGTGCTACTAGACCTTGTCTTCCAGGCCCCCCGAACGAGACCTCTCACCACTAATACAGATTGCATGACATATGCGTATTTACTACAGGTGATGTCTCGGGACATTGTCTAAGTCACCACTCCCAAAACCACTCCCAAAAATATTCAGGACCACAATGCAACGCGCTTAAATGTAAGCGGGATTCTGATTGGTCCAAATTTTATATATCAACGCGCGCAAATTTACGCCTTATGCCCATAAAAGGCTATTCAACGCCCGAGATAAATGTCTTAACGGGCGCAATTTATAGTTTTAACGCCGATAATTTACGGGTGTAATTTTACGTCTGTACGGGCGTAATTTAACATTTGCACGAGCGTAATTAACGCCTACACACCCGTAAACAACGCATGCATTCTTTATACTATAGGACAACCATACGTTTTGAACAGCTACGCGGGGTTGAAACGCGTTATCTATGTCCACCCTTCTGTGGTCGCCGTAGAGAAAATGTGATTGGGAGCTTAATTCCTACGCTATCCATGCATATTTCTTTCATTTCAGACAATGTATATTTAGGGTGTTTTAAAGATGAAATTAACAGAGATCTTCCTTACAAGGCTTACGAGCAGAACGGTAACAATACTCCAAGCTTGTGTATTGAAACGTGTGCCGAAGCAGGTAATAAAATATTATGATTGTGAATAGTCTCTATCAAAAGTATAGTTTACTCAGAAACCTCATGATGGATTAATGCATGGCGACACCTTCAATTCGAAATATATATTTTCACCTCTTTTTGCAGAAGCACTCGTTGCCATACGTCGCGCCCTCAAAACCCGGGTTTGCCGTCATCCAAACCCGCCTTTGCAAAAATGTGAACGGTTCATAATTAGACTCGTTCGTGTTATTTTCGCAAGTTTTCAAACCTGGATTTAATTGTTTTTATTAGAAGGGTTCCTCGTTATCAATTGTAATATGTAAGATTTTATCCAAGACAGACACAATAGAAATTGCAACACTGGAGGATGGTAATAGTGTGGAATTGTATTTAAATCAAATATTATTCATATATATGAATAAAAATAAATTTGTTTCAAGATTCCCATCTCTACTGGCCAATTTTTCCTTGTTTTAGTAGCCGTTGTAGGCTTAATGATATCATCATATCTTAGTCAAAATAGAGAACGAAAGAGTATATGGGGTCTTCTAGCTTTGCACATTTAAGACCGGTCATAATACGTAACTATTGCCAATATGTTTAACGTCTTGGTAGATACAAAATAACACGTATAAAATTCTAATAAAACTAACTTTTATATTTCGTGGCCTCATTAAAGGGGCAACAAGGCCTGTAGAGAGAAAAAAGGAAAATTTTAACTTTTTCTGAGCTATCAAGGCAACATTTGGCTTAACATCTTCTTTGACATACCCATTTTCTTAAAATGTATGGATAACCTATCAATTTCAGCATTAAGAAGTGTAAATTCAGTTCAAAGCTTGAAAAAGGGGAAATCCGCTTTTTCATTTTTAAGATCCATCATGTTTCAAGAGGAATATCAGCTGAAATAATGTTTATCTAGGGGGTTTCTTTGTAGATAATAAAAATAGATGTAAGTCTTGATGAAATATCCAAACCTAGATATTTTTTGACACTGGTCCGTGATCATTGAATGGCTCCTCTGCACTAATTGTTGCACCTTTAAATACTTATTTCGTTTGGAATGGCCTTAAACCCTGGTCCGCGAAACAAACATTTAAATAAGGGATTGGCGCACCCGGGTCTGACTGTAGACCTCCTGTTCACTGTCGTATGAATTATGAATATAGTTTCGCACACTTGTCAACAGAAACTCACAGTGAACCCTGCTTTCCCAAACCCGGGTTTCCAGGATTCGCCTCGCATGCCTTCGACTCTTTCTCTCTTTTTTGGAGCTGAACTGAAGAGACGGGATTAATATCTTACATATACGAGGGGTGATCAGGAATTTCAGGGTAAACTCATACAACTTCGGGTACTTTCGATTGTTTTTAATTCGTTTTGTAGGTTATATGTATGCAGCGGTGACGAAAGGACACAAATGTTTTTGCGGAAATTCCTACGGCAGATATGGCTCGGTAGCAGAAACAGAGTGCAGCATGAAATGCCCCGGTGACCGGACACAGATGTGTGGCGCCTTTTTACGCTTGAATATTTACAAAACATCGTTGGCCGGTACAGTACCACCAAGTTGGCTCAAATTTTAAAAACTCAAGGCCCGTTTTTTGACAGTTTTGCCTTAGATTTAAAACGAGGGCCCAAAAAGGCCAAGTAGTGCCCAAAAGGCCCTTTTATTGTATGGGCCTCCCTGGATCCTCTAGAGCTTCCTTACAGTAAATATTCACGAGGATGCTACTTGCAATAGGCTGTTGAATTTCATTTCTACTTTATTTATAACTATCACTATTTTTTACCAATCAGATAAATGTATCCAGTAATTAATGTAAATTGACAACGATAGCAGTCATTTCTCAAGATACAAAACGAGTTCCTGAATCAACTACGAAGTTTATCTTCATCTATTATTCAAGCTATTACATAGTATGACTGAAGGAATACATTGGTTTGATTAACACTATATACAAAATATCAATGCATATTTTAATCATATTTAATATTTTAAAACAGAAACGGTGTAATAGAGTCCAAAAGATTTTTCAATCAGAAAACGTTTTCGGAAAACCTTAAAAACATGTGCGCAGATATGATGATAGCGTTCTGGACTCTGGAGACATTTTGAATTCATTTGCAATACCAAAAACGCTCACTTGAAAGATCCTGTATTTTATTTTCGAATTTCTACTTACAATTTTCGTATTTTGTTCAGAAAATCCCTGTGGGTTCACAATGAGTAGTGACGTCAGCAGTCCAAATGTTACACACGAATTCCCAATCCAGACTCTGAGGGCATTTCTCGTAAACACGAACGATGTTCCTGATTATGCAGCCTTCCTTGAATGTTGTCCCAATGGGCCAATTTCAGTAGTTGCCGATCTGAGCGCCTTTGGCTGCATGTCCGACTTGCAGGGTTCGTCCCCCTATATCGGGGTAACGTATAAATTATTAGGCTAAGATAGCGTCGAGACTAACTCAGCAAATTATGCTTGTATTTGCGAATCCAACTTTCGACTAGCGGCTACTAGGTTGATTGCAATTTAATGGCAAACTCATTTATATATGAATAGTACCTGCCGGTGACTGAGAGCATCAAACCCAATCGCTGACCTAAATGACAGGTTAATCTGCCTATTCAGCAGCAAGTAATAATGATTAACGATCTGTTCTCTTATTCAACCGAGCGGCTTTATTATAACTAATCGTTTATGTACAGCGGCATAAAAAATCATGCGATCACTGATCACTGTTCGTCAACTCACTGGTGGTTCGCTAAATCAACATCAAAATGACGGGTTAATCTACAAAAGTTAATACGTTAATCTGGTAGCCGACAGCCGAAAGTTGCATTCACAAATGCCACACAAATATTGAATATCTGTATGTATTCAAGAATTCAATACCTACTGAGGTTCTAGGCACACAACGAGCGGGGATGTATCTAGGGGCTATCGCCAAGGTCCTACCATAGAATAAATAAAAAATAGGATCATAGGATAAATATGATATCCTATGATTTTCTTGGGCTATCATTTTCATTCACTCTTGGATATCGCCGATCTCCACTCATTCCCAGCGCTCACTCGTGGAGATGGACGATATCAACTCATGGATAAAGGTGGTATCCCTCAAAAATCATACCCTCGTTGAAAATAATTGAAACTCAAGACTTTATGCATTGTAGGTGATTCATTCCACTGAAGGCTTTTCCTAAACTTCACACTTGATGACATTGCTCTTCATATTGTAGATTCAGCATGGTCCACCGATAAAAGATGAAAGTCTCTGCGACACACCGGAAATGACACGACAAGGGCCAATTAGGTTTTTGCTAACCGTACGATCTCCTAAAGAGCCCATAACCCCTTGGTCCGTTAGATTTGAATGCGCTGCAGAATAGGCAGGCTAGGTGCATTGAGGCAAATATCAAATCTGACTGCAAAATACAAAAAACACATTATTTTAGAATGTGCAGTGAGCGTGGATCTCAATGGTTCATCTTCACGTTTGGGTCTAAAATATTATATAAAATTAAATAAAACAACATTTTGACAGTTAATAAAACATTGTGTCTGTTTATGGTGTATTTTATAGTGTTTTACACTGAGAAGCGCTTTTCACAGCTAGGGACCAAAACGCCTCTAGAACGAAACGAGGGACATGTGAATGGAACAAGTTTGTAGAAAAACGGTGCAGTATAAGACTCACAATCTTTGATTTTCAAACATCCAGAAGGTCTAAAATTCTAATTAACGGTCATGGTGGGACCCCCGTGTTACAGCAGTACAGTATAGTGTTGTATTTGGTGTTCTGAAAATCTTAATTACCAGATACCAGTAGCGTAGTGTGGTCATTTTGTAAGTGTATGCCACGAGTAAGCGAAGCGAATGATCTTTGAGGAGGGTTTGTGGGTTCTCCCCAAGAAAATTTGAAAATGAGATTGCAAAAGTCCGACTAAAAAATATGGATTAATAAAATGTAAAATATTGGCCATTTTTATCCAATCTAAAAATCAACTTTTTTCTAAGTTTTGAGAGTTCGCCATGGCGTTTTATGCGTAAACAGTTAATTCTTCGAAAACATATTACTGAAATAAAAGTGATCAATAGAGAGCTTTCGATATAAGTTATTTGGTCAACTTGTACTGCGAAAGCCCATGGTATTACATAACGAAGGCTATTAGTACAAAAAATTCAAAATGAGATGATGTATAATATAACGTTTAAATGCATATATACCATTTGTAACTTTTAAACTTTACAATAACGTGTATGAGATCTTTTGGTTTAAAATGAATTAGGAATTCCTATTTTAAGCTTGTATTCGCGAATGCAACTAACGCCTGTCAGCTACCGGATTAACCTAATATTTCATGACCAACTCATTTAAATATGAATGGAATAGTAGCAGCAACTATTCAAATTTAAATGAGTTTCCGATAAAATAGTAGTTTAATCCGATAGCCGTCGGGCGTTAGTTGCGTTCGCGAATTCAAACTCAGCTATCCATCAATTCCCCTAACCTATACGTTCAGCGTAGTTGAGATCTGGGCTATATCCATAAATCATTTCCAAGATTTGACCTTAAACCAGTAACCAGCAAACAAGGTACCGAAGTAGCAAACTTCGAAGCATGGTAGCTTTTTAATGAAACGTTTCATTAAATGAAATTTGATGAGTAACTCCCGAATTGAATTATCTTTCACATATTGAGGAGTTTTTGCTGTAGAGGAGGGTGCCGTTGTTTTGTGACACCCTGGATAAGCATCAGCATATAAAATCAAATCCATCCACTGGTATTTGATTTATCAAAGATTTTTTATGCGACCATTTTGAAATTTAGCTGTCATCTTTAAAATTTCCTCTCAACAGAGTTCCTTTGTCCCTGGGCATCAGCATATAAAATTTGAACCTAATCCATTCACTGATACTTGGTTTATCTTTTTTTTTTAAACAAAAAGGCAACCATTTTGAAATTTAATCGCCATCTCGAAAATGTCTTCTTCAGCAGAGGTCCTTTGTCCCTTGGTATTAGCATCTAAAATCTGAACCAAATCAGCTCACTGGTATTTGAGCTATCAACATTTTTTTTACAAAAAATGGTGGCCATTTTGAAATTTAGCCGCCATCTTGAAAATTCTTACTTTAGGTGTGAGGTTCCATATCCATCGGCCAAAAGGTATGACCCCTATATAGTCCATTCAAAAACCTGTGGTTTTGTTCTAAATAACACCATAGTTGGCTTCTAGGGTACCTAGTATGCCACTATTTGGTATCAAAATTAAGAGGAGTTTAACTTTCATTTGAATTACGAAAAAAGCGATGTAGGTCAAAATAGTTCCCACGTGAGCATGTTTACTAGGCGTTTGCCCGTCATCTCAGAATTGAGGAAATGGTAGCAAACGCGAGTTACAATAAATGGACGCTGAGATCTCAAAAAGTAACCTGACTCCCTATAATTTGATGTAGATCAATCGAACCCCTATATGAACAGGTACATTTTGATATATAACACTATATGGGGGTAAGGGTTTTATAGTTGATCACGAACGCCATATGTGCAAAGTATTGTTCTAAATTTTCGAATATGTTGTTGGATTACGGTACTCACACCTTTACCAGAGCTACTATGTCCCTAGGTATCAGCATCATGAGCATATACATTTTGAACCAAATCCACTCACTGGTATTTGAGTTACAAAAAATGGCAGCCATTTTGAATGAAGTGGCCATATTGAAAATTCCTTCTCGAGCAGAAGTCCTACACCCATAAGGCATAAGCCTAATAAATTTGAATAAAATCCTTCAACCCGTATTTGAATTATCGTCCGGACAATCAAACGGACGGACAGATGCACAAACGCATGGCTTCTCTATATCCCTAAGAACTTCCTTTGGAGGGATCATAAGAGCTAAAAGTGAATTGAACATAGGCCGATATTTATTATTGTGTTCAAATAATTGCCATAATAGTTTATACAGCAATAATGACTATTGTATTACTTCTGTGTTTACTTCAAATTGCTGTGAAATAATTCTCTTGACAAAAATTAGTTCATACAGGGACTTGGTAAGAGAATTCTTGTGTTTCTGTAATATAGTCTATAACATCAAGACTTATGAAAATCATGATTAGCAGCACCACCAGTTCTCATTAAAATACAATCCAAAGGGTTAATCCCGTACTATTGAATCACATCATGTCACTGGGCCTACTGCAAAATTCTATTTATTAATGGCTAGGCAGTTTTTCTGTTTACTTCACGACATCTTCACTAATTTCCTTTTTAGATTTCTGGGCCATTTTGGATCTCATCTTTTCCTCAAATTCTTTTTGTTCCATTTGTTTTCTAAATGCAGAGCAACACCCCCATTTGTAATCCAAGTGGCGATAGCAGCATTGTTCTAAGTTGTTAGCGGTATATTCACATGGTTCTTGTTTGAAATCATTGGCTGAAAAGAACAAGCACAAACCAATAAAGGATTTAAAGAATCACATTATACCTTGAAGGAAATAAAAGATAAAGATTAAATGAGCATATATCATAGAATTGTGAATGCATCAGAGTACAGCAATCACTGACGGACAACAAGCACTGAGGGACAATTAGCACTGTGGGGCACTAGGGGACAACAAGCACTGAGGGACGACAAGCACTGAGGGATGACAAGCACCGAGGGATGACAAGCACTCGGGGACAACAAGCACTGAGGGACAATTAGCACTGAGGGGCACTGAGGGACAAGCACTGAGGGACAACAAGCACTGAGGGATGACAAGCACTGAGGAACAATTAGCACTGAGGGGCACTGAGGGACAACAAGCACTAAGGGACAACAAGCACTTCGTTAGTTGGGATAATCACAAGTGCATATATAAATATAGATTAAATTATAATATTATTCAATTAAAATTAAATATTTACATAAATACATTGTAACTGCATGAATATATGTTATTCCCTTTTGTCAGCTATGTGATGGGCTAAGCCTCCTGGCTTATGGTGATTATAATCTATTCCATTACAATCAATCAATTAGTTGGCTAGAAATCATCACAATTAGGAAACAAATGCTATCCTACATGAGATATTGCATGATTTTGTCTAAAATTAAAAATCAATGGTTCTGCAATTTTTAAAACATTTGTTGTTGTTGAACTAAGAAAATTCAGAAATTTTTCAGAAATTTTTTTCACTGAATTTTCTCGTTTTTATATATTTTACAAAACAGATCTTCTCACACGTCTTTTCTAGGCACATAAGTGCACTCTTTGTGCAAACCTGGAATATATAGACAATGTGGGGAAGGAGTGATTCTTGTTTGAAAAATAACGTGTGACTCAATTGAGGGATGCAGAAAATTTCCCATCATGCATCCTGACCTTAACTAAAAATAATGACAACCTAGTTGAATTGGAATGAATAAGTGAGCGTAGTTTTTTCAGATCATACCCTCGATTATAAGATCAGTACAATTGATCAAATTGTTTAATGATGATAATGATATGTATATGCAATACTGTCACATGTGCTTCGTGGGTAGTAGTGTTGGTGTGTTTCACTGATTGAATTCAATCAAATTTTTCTTCAAAATTAATGGGCGATAATAAGTGAATGCGTCAATTTTCTTCGCTTTAGAGTCTCTTCCATCTTACAAAAACAAGTGAAAGGTTAAGATAAGTACCTTTTAAGCATGTCTGTATCTCACATGCAATCAGTTGGAATGGATGCTTCTTTAGATTCTTGCCGTCTATGAAGAGATTCGTCATTTCTGGAAAAAATGATTTCATAAATTTTATCCGCTAGGTGGCGAAAGAAGAATTACGCCGATAGGTGGTGCTTGTTGCCTGGCAACCTTGCAACAAAACTTCCATGTTGAGAACAGAAAATTGAGAGTTGAGATTTATCACTTAAAAACTATCAAAAACAGGAAAATAGACAAACGGAAATAAACTAAAAATACATCATGGCACTACCCTTCTTACCGGGGAACTCATTTAACCCAAATGTAAGTAATTGACTAAACAATTCGTGGTCAACGCTATAGATTCGTAAAGCAATTTGCAAATGTTTTTTCTTGACTTTTTTTCAGAAACACTGTTGTTAGCCTAGCCTACTCATATCAAAATGTCAAAATTTCATTTATTTATACACAATCATTTGGTCTGTGTTGTTCATTTGAAGCTTATTCGTCATTGTTTTGTTGCAGCTTGGGAAAAATAAGTACCATAAATCCCATCATTTTGACAAGGCCAATGAAGTTGCCATGATGGTTGGTGAAAGTAAACCAGGAATTGGTGGCGATCCTTTACTTGGACAGAAAATCAAACCATCAAACAGCGTCATACCCCGTGGAGATGGAAGCGCATTGCCAGCTTGGGTAGCTTTTGACAGACAGGTTCTCTGTTTTGATGCATACTTTCAAGAAGCAGTTCATGAGAAACGTGAGGAACAATATCGTGTCCGCCAATCAAAAATCTACTTCTACCTGGAAGATGACTCTATACAAGTCATTGAACCAAGGCTTAAAAATGCTGGAATTCCTCAAGGTAGGTTCTGGTTTTCATTATCTACAGTAAACTGATACTCATTTAGTCCATGTAATGTTAATAACTTATATAAAATCCATGTTACATATGTGAATGTTACTCTCTCATATGAGAGCTAATTGATTTATGATGCAAACATAAGAGAAAAGTGTTAATCATAATCATACAATCAACATCAATATTTAATCTTTACAGGTACTTTAATTCGCCGTCATAGAATCCCCCGTCCACCTCCTCACGATGACCAGTTCTACACAGTAGAGGACTTCAACGTTGGCAATGAAATAACTCTTTATTCACGCACATTTAAAATAACAGGCTGTGATGAGTTTACTCATAATTTCTTGCGTAAACTTGGAGTGCGAACAAAAGTTCCAGAATCCCAACCTGGTGATCCTTATATGACACATAGGAAAGCTGTGAGTAGCATGGGTTTTGTCAATGAATTTTTTTTTGTTAAGAGTTATTCATTTAATTATGAGCTGAAGTCATCAGAGTATTACCCTTTTCAGAACTTGATAATATCTCCATCCTTCAGATTAGTCAAGTTTCATACTGTAGGTACATGTTGCATTCATGAATTCAACAGATGTCAAACTATCAGCCGACAGATGGCATTTGAATTGACAAATGCTAACTCAGATTTATACTGTATCCAGTTAGTGTAAACTTACCTTGAAGCCTATGAGTACCATGGCCTACATTTATTTCTCCTTTAAACTTGCTAAATATATTTGAAACAAATGAAAATATTATTAGAAAAATCTGACTTTATATTTTATTTTAAAATAAATAACAATCAAATTTTGTTTTGATAGATGGATGAGAGTATGCAGCCATTGAGACCTTATGAAAAATATGACACCTTAAAACAGTTTCTGGACCACGACCGCCATGTCTTAAGATTCTACTGCTTCTGGGATGACACGGATGAAATGTTTGGAGACCCAAGAGAGATGGTCTTACATTATTTCCTCGCTGATGACACAATTGAAATCCGTGAGACGATTCCTCCAAATTCTGGTCGTGATGCTGCCCCTATGTTTGTACGTCGTGGGAAGCTCCCAAAAGAGGAGTCAGACCTGAAGCAACCGGGCGTACAGACTGATCGCACTGTGTTGAATGTGTTTGGCCCCACTGGCCATGGAGGCAGATATATTCTAGATAGTTTAAAGGTGAGGATTTCATTCATTGGGGTTGCCTACCAGACTAAAGTTTTAAAATGGCAAGACTGAAATGTTTTGAGATACCCCAAATTCAATCAGCCTATTCACCATCAATTTAATTAAACCACATTTGTTAACCTGTTCAGTGGAACACCTCTAGAAGTGGAACACATGTGTTTGTGTAACATTTTTCAGAGTGGCCAAGACCAACTGATTTAATGTCAAATAACCTCTATACGTGGAGCACCTCCCAAGCGGCACACATTTTATAGGTACCAAAGGTGTTCCACTTAGACAGGTTTAACTGTACAATGTCCTGGGCCTATTACAAATGCTAAACGAACCTAAAGCTAACTTACCTCTATGTTTTTGCAGACTGGAGCAGTTCCAACAGACTTCTACACAGACAAAGACCTTCAAATTGGAGCTCTCATCAATGTTTATGGCAGGAAGTTCAAACTTTGCGATTGTGATGAGTTTACCAAAGAATACTACAAATCCAAATACGGACTCAGTAAGTAAAAATAAATAACAAAAGCAAACATGTTTTTTCAGATCATTTTTTATTGCTTAATTATTGTATATTTTACATGATTTCTTACATGTAAGGTATTAAATACATCAGATCACCTTTTTGTAAAGCTTTACATATAGGCTTTGGTCGATAGAAATAATTTTTAAATAAAGATGGCATGGTAATCGATCTGTGTTTATTTATTAAATATACTGGATTCTGTTAGTGCTGCCATCTTTATATTGGCCCAGAACCTATGGCTTTACATTGATGCATTTAAGTTACTAGCATGTTTTCAAATCTAATAGAAAAATTCTTAAATATGCTTGTACCTGTTGGGTAGGGATTTTCTTTAAATCCTTGTTAAAACTACCACCCTTCATATGAAAATTACAAAAATGACTGTAGGCCTATTGTAACAGGGTTCTAAGTTCTTACAAAAATAAAACCTCAGATGCAAACCTCTATCAGGCCATCAAACGTTAACTGTGTTTATCGTCATTTTGACCCACAATAGGACATTAAACATATGATTAATTTTGAATGGACTTAGCTATAAATAATTAATAAAATTACTTTGGTTTGTAGATAACTTTCCTGAGATTCCCTACAAACAGCCAGCCTCTGAAAGACAACCACGAGAATTCCCACCTTATAATGGGTTTGGTAGCGAGGAAGACTCCCTCTGTTCTTGCATGGGGCTCATCCCAAAACCACCCAGGCGAGACTTCATCAAGTTCATGGAGAAAGACAGACATGGCTTGGATAGCAACGTGTTGAGATTCTTGGCCCGTATGGACACTACCAAGCCCATAGATCAGGATCGGAGATTTATTATCTCTTATTTCATGTCTGATGATACTGTACTGGTGTTTGAACCTCCAGTCAGGAATTCAGGTAGGTTTTAGTGAGATGTATTTTACATTTACAGGATCCAAGATACTCTCCCAAGGAATTTTTGCACGGAGGATATGTCATATTTAAGTGCCGAATTTTATGTAATTTTTGTGCAACACCTTCCTTTTTTCATTTATTTTATTTTACATTTCATGGTGTGATACATTGAGTGAATGGAAATGCTTTTTTTACCAAAAGAGGTCAAATGTTTTGATAGGTGTAATTCAGTATGTAAGCGCAATTCGAGTATTCAATTGGTGAAGTGAGCCTTTGATCCCCTCCCCCCTTCATGTCTGTTTGTAAGGGTTACCTGCATATGCCTTTATTTCCTTTGCACAAAAATTGATATCACTCATCTCTTACAGGTATAATTGGTGGTAAATTCCTTGAGAGGGGTCGTATAAAGAAACCTGCCCAGGAGCGCTACAGCACCGAACTATCAGAGTACTACAATGCACCAGACCTCTATGTGGGCGCTGTAGTTGAGTTCAACAACCATAGATTTGTTCTCATTGACGCTGATGAATACGCATTTGGATATATGGAGGCACATAACAATGAGGTAAATTCATATTTTGTTATTTCGGAAACCATTATGATTTTTTGAGTTTTTTGTAGAAAATATACATACTGTAGGTTAATCATTTTTGCGTTTTTTTATATTTTTTACAATGCTTACATTGAAATTCAAATGATTTTGATATCTCTGCTTTGCACAATAATATTTCAATGTTTATACATATATGTACATAAGTGAAACACCTCCAAAGTGGAACACTTTTAGAGGTACCAAAGGTGTTCTATTAGACAGGTTGTACTGCAATTTAGAAATGTTAAAAACCAGTTTCTACAAGAGCAACATGATATCCTGACATTCTTTCATTATTTTCTAAACATGTACAAATGACATTTAATTCTAGTTCCCTAAAGCTAGCATCAACTTGATCATGCAGAAGATACTGCAGGCTTTACAAGGGAAAGATACACAGGATGTTCAGTTATTCCCCTGTTTATTCAATGCCAATCTTTAACACAATCGTGTATATAATTTACTTTTAGTTTGCCAAAGCTAGCATCAACTTGATCATGCAAAAGATACAGCAGGCTTTACAGGGGAAAGGGGACGCACAAGATATTCAGTCATTCTTCCAACAAAATGACACAAGTGGGTCAGGGAATATGTCCTATGAGCAATTTCATGATATGTTACTTCAAGTTGCCCCTGGTCTTCTGACTGAGCATGAAATAATGACAATAGGACGGTATGTACTTAATCTATCATTGCGCTGCAATATTCATTTGTCTAATTTGTAAAAAATGTCTAAGAATTTCATTTGATTTGAATACAAAATTTGTATAATTCAAAAGAGAGTAAAAAATGTTTCGTTCATTTGAAAGTTCTAAGATGGATTAAAAAAATGAACATTTACATTATTGTAATGAAATGAAATGAAATTTTTATTTTTCATGGAAACATCTATGAAATCAATTGAAGTTTCCTTGAAAATATGCTCTCTTCAATTACTTACAAATTGTTCATTAGCATTTACTACTCCATGTTCAGCAAAAAGATTAAGAAGAATGCCACTTGGACAAGACACAAGTGTTCAGATTAGCAGATTTTCACATTTTCATTTTCACATTTTCACATTTTGTTTTTGATATGTGAGTCAATGGAAGATAACAAAATTGGAACTGAGAAAAAGTGTTCACATTGAGAGGTGTTCAGATTAGAGATGTGTTTGCAACATACAAGTTTGACTTCAAATATTCTATCTAATATTTCCCAATTAACCATTTATTCTTTTGTTGCAGTTATTACATGGAGAAAAAAGAAGATGACAGATTAGACATTAACACTTTGATTGCCATAACTCAAGAACAACTGAGGAAACACAACTTCGAAGGTTTCACCAAACTGAATGAACAGTTCATGCACCATGATAACAGCAGGTAGGTCAACAGACTAGACTAGACATACCCCTTGAATCTTTGTGCCAGGAAAATGAATCTATATTAGAGCATCATGATTTAAATGTTATCCCAGAACTTATTCAAAATTGATATTACAGTTCGCCATTAAGGTTGAAAATCCTACACCTAGAGTATCTTATTTACCATACCATACCATACCATACCATACCATACCATACCATACCATACCATACCATACCATACCATACCATACCATATAAATGTTATCCCAGAACTTATTCAAAATTGATATTACAGTTCGCAATTAAGATTGAAAACCTGATTGCCACAATTCACAATATTGGCATTCAGTGCATTGGCAAATAGCCAAGTGTTTTTCCAAGTGCATTGGCAAATAGGCAAGTGTTTTTCCATGTGCATTGGCAAATAGGCAAGTGTTTTTCCAAGTGCATTGGCAAATAGGCAAGCGTTTTCCCAAGTGCATTGGTAAATAGGCAAGTGTTTTTACAAGTGCATTGCCAAAAGCGAGCACTGGTTGCCATCGGCTGTCAGGCAATTTTGAGTTTTAACCCTGATTGACATCCAGATCATACCATACACCTAGAGTATCTTATTTACCATACCATATCCATATCCATACCCATATCCATACCCATATCCATACCCATACCCATACCCATACCCATACCCATACCATACCCATATCATACACATAGAGTATCTCAAGTATCTCACAGTTTCAACATGCAGTCTGATGTTTAATTCAACACAATGTTTGTATTTACAGGAGTAACACTCTGGACGCAGAGACAGTGCGAACAGTTTGCCACGCCCTACATGTCCCTGTTGCTGATGATCTGCTAAGAGCTCTCATCTCAAAGTAAGTGGAGAATGGCTATAATCAGAAAACACAAAGGGCAACATCTAAGTCATTAACCAGTTAACTAGTGATTTATAAATACCAAAACATAAAGGACAAAATTGAAGTGACTTATTAGTGTTTTGAGAAATAAAAAACAACAAAGGACAACATTCAAGTCACTAAAGAAATACCATCGGTAGGCTTTATTATATAGAAAACCGATAGAACAATCATATTAAACATTAAAATGAAAGTGTTATATGGGTTGTTTTATGGCCTCTTGGAGAAAGTTAACATTTACATGTATCACTTTTAAGGGTAAACCAACTATTTTGAATACAATATTTCTTTTTTTCATTTACAAATTAAACATATATACATTATATTATAATACATGACAATATATCAATACACATACATAGTCTATTCAAATTTTTTTTAAATAAAATATTTGATTTGATTGTTTTCCAGGATCATGGATCCACAAGGCAAAGTGAACTTCACAGAGTTGATCAAAGTGTTGAACTGGCGGGATCACCCTGTAGCTCCAACACAATACAACACAGGAGCCAGGCAGGAAGATTGGCAGGGCAACCAGAAAGAAACTCTCATACAGAATGTCAACTATAAACAGCTCTTAGTTGATCTCATGGGAAGCCGAGGAGCATCAAGATAAATAGTACAGGACTATGTTAGAATAAATGAGACAAGGCCAGTCAATTTTGAGATAAATATGGAAAGATACATTTCACGAAATTCAATTGTCTTTTTCAATATTGCCATTATCGTAAAAGACAATTGAAATCCAGAATTTTTAATATTTTCAAGAAATGGCATTCTGCACAAGATAATTGTCTGTTTAGATGACGGAGTGAAAACCTACTTTTACACTGCAGATAGTCTTTTGGAAGTAACCACTTACTTCCAAATAATTACTGGGCCAATAGAAAGATGACATTGGGATTTGTCTATAAAAGTGCATCCCAACGGTAAGCTTGACAACTTGAAGTTTTTATCAGATGGCATATCAAAGCTATTCAACGTCAGAATTTTAATTTTGTTCCTGAATTACAGGACAACAAATTTGATGATCTTTTTAAATCACCAAAAATAAACAGGCTTTAATGAGTGACTCAAAAACTGACATCTGATTGTCAAATTTATAGAGGGGACTCTAAAACCTGCGTAAGAGGAACACCTTTTAGAGGAGCTTACAGGGATTCATTAACATGGGCCATAGGACATCAATAAACTATTCCACTTATAAAGGTGTTCTATACGACAATTTTGAAATGAACTTACATCTTTCTTACAAAATAATTCCCTATCTTATGCTAGATATGCAGTGTAAACGTACATAGAATGAAATAAGAGACTGGCTCAGAGTTATTGGACTTCTATGAGACTACCTTTAGGTGTGAACTATTTCAATTCTCCTAACTCCATCAAACAAATAATTAGATTGTACTGGTCTTAAAGTCAAGAAATGCGATACAAACTTTCAGTTATATTCTACAGTAGTAGAATGCTTTTATTCTGTGGAATATAAACATTTTGGGATGTATTTTAAATCGCGCCAAGAAAATTTGAATTTTCAAGTGGCTTTGTTCTACTGCACCCTTTTTTACTTAAATTGATTACAGAGATAGAATTGTAAAAAAAAACATTGTATTTCTTGTATTATCAAAAAACATAATATTAACAAAGAAACTTTAGACTGTCAACTACATGTTTCGCATGTCAACATTTTATGAAGGACTGTGTCCATTGGATGAATAGCCAAGGAGCATATATAACAGCTACAAATATGTAATTTAATTTGTATAAATGTAAATAAAAGTATATTGTACAAAAGTAGTTTTATACTTTCCTGTTCCTGACACGATTGATCGACTTTGATGATTAAATATAAGTTTCATTTTTTCTCTAAATACTCTAAATATCAAACCTTGAACAAAACATACACGAATTGAACTGTTGGCTGACGGTTTAATCAACTATTTTATGGCCAAATCATTTCAATATGAATAGCACCTGTCGCTATTTCATTCATATTACATAGAAAAAAGAAGATTACAGATTAGATAATAACACTTTGATTGCCATAACTCAAGACTAACTGAGGAAACACAACTTTGAAGGCTTCGCTAAACCGAATGGACAGCCCCTACGCCATGATAACAAAAGGACCATTCAATTGTTTTTGACGCCGCACGGCCTAAGTGTAAGGTAATGTAGTCGAGTGGACCGATTTGTTGAGTTACAGTGTCTTTCCAACAAATAATGGGCTTTGAGTGAAAAATAAATTATAGAACAGTGTACAGGTTTTGTACATCAACCTTGGTCCAATGATATTTCACTTCTACCGTTGAATGGAATGATAAATGCATTTTGAATGAAAGATGTTGTTATACAGGACGTCTAATATAGTACTCCAAGCACGATCCGTGTATGAAAATAATCTTGGTTTCTTAAATAGATGCATGAGTGTTCGTTAACACCCCAGTCACATTTGTCGTACGGCGGCCGTACGTCGACCGCAGATCAATTAAATCAGTGTATTTCTGCGGTGAGCATAGGAAAACTACGCTCGCCTTGCGGCCTCCGTACGGCGTATCCACTTTTTTACTATGGCTGGCCATCTGGACCAATGTATCGTCATACTTTTAACGCCGTAAAATCTACTTTTAACGCCGTAAAAACGATTTTATACGCCGTAAAGAATTACTTTTACGCCGTTAAAAACGATTTTTTACGCCGTTAAAATTCATTTTGAACGGCGTCAAAAATAATTTTTAACGCCGTAAAAAACGATTGTATACGCCGTAAAGAATTACTTTTTACGCCGTTAAAAACGATTTTGTACGCCGTCAAAACCTATTTTTACGCCGTTAGAAATTATTTTTTACGCCGTTAAAAATCTTTTTTACGCCGTTAAAAATTATTTTTTACGCCGTTAAAAATTACTTTTTACGCCGTTAAAATTACTTTTTACGCCGTTAAAAATTATTTTTTTACGCCGTCAAAACTGATTTTTTACGCCTTTCGAAATTGCGAACGTACAGAACATTGTTAATCATTTGCAAAAAAATGTTTAAACAATGAAAACTCGATGTATATCAAATTCCCGAGATTTCCTTACAACCAAATGCGTCTGGCAAATAAAAATTCCAATATAAATGATAAATATGACATGTACAGTGACAGAAACATAGGGTTTTTGATTTATATCAATCAGTCGGTAAGTCGAACATACACGTTCGTTTGTTCAATGAATACCAGATTGTAACGCTGGTTTTAATTGGCTGCCAGCTATACTTTTTAACGGCGTACAAAATCGTTTTTAACGGCGTAAAAAGTAATTCTTTACGGCGTATAAAATCGTTTTTACGGCGTTAAAAATTATTTTTGACGCCGTTCAAAATGACTTTTTACGCGTACATAATTATTTTTGACGCCGTAAAAAAATCAATTTTGACGGCGTACAAAATCGTTTTTAACGGCGTTAAAAGTAATTCTTTACGGCGTATAAAATCGTTTTTACGGCGTTAAAAGTATGACGATACATTGGTCCAGATGGCCAGCCATATTTTACAGGCCGCAGGGTCGCCGTAGAAATCATAATGAATCATTATTTGTCAATGTTTCACGATCACTTTTCATTTGATATTACATCCTAGCACTAACAATAACCTTTATAAATTGTCCTGATGTAAATAAAATGAAAAAAAGTATTTTTTATCAACAGAAATTTAAAATTCACCGTGCGGCTGCCTTGGGAAATGTGACTGCAAAAGTATGAGAGCGCAGAAATTCTACGGCGAGTGTAGAAAAGCTACTGGCCGCAGAAATGATAGACTGCACGGCGGCCTTGGGAAATGTGACTGGAGTGTTATCCTTTTTTCAGCTCTTGATTGTTTACGACATATCAAAATCATTTAGATATCATTTGACTTGAAAATTTTCAGCTCGATTGTTCAATGTAGGAGGTGTTCCAGGGTGGTGTTACCTTGTACTATAAATCAACGTTTAGCCAAGAAATACACTCATTTTGAAAGGATGGTTAAGACATTTTATTCTCCAGTTTATTCATCTGGAAGTACCTATATACACTCCCCTCCATAAGTTTGGCAACCTTTGTTCCCCCATTGAACTACGTGTTAAAGCCTCTTTACCTTTAAATTTTTATTTACTTAACCTGCAATGAAAATACTTATACTATTAATGGAAACGTAATTTGACTTAATTTTCAATACCTCCAAATTTTACATGATACATGTTAGATTACAAATCAACTTGCTATTAATATCATCTTCAAATGTAAAAGGTGTCTGTTTTGTAAAAGGTTACTTTGATCCAATTAAGTCATGACATAGACAACATGACATAGACATTTTTCATCAATAGCACATCAATGTCCCAGCTCTATCTATCGACATTGTTTCATAGCATTTAAGTTTGACAACACTATAGCAATGTTTAGTTAAACGTCAATCATTCACTTGTATTTATAAATATGACGGGATCTATGTGACTTTAATGGAACGCTCACCTCTATCAGTTCACGCAACAACATCTAGGTCTTGTTTATCATTTTAGCAAATGTCAATATTGCAAAAAAACATTGTAATAAACAGTTCTTCAAAAGGTATTCCTACATTCTAAACCTGAGCTCTGTCTGCTTAAAGTTTACCTTGAATTTTTAATGTCAGTGTAATCCCAAAAACGTCATACTTTATTGAAGGATTTAAAACACGTTTACATTTTTATACTCAAAATGACATAAAAACTGTACAAACTTAGTTATTATCATTAATTTTTGAGATTTATATTTGGAATGAAAAAATCCGCTTTGTTTTAAACATCATGGATGATTATTGCAATTTTGTCACCCCTTATATCATTCTAGTTCTAGTCTAGATATCCAAGCATGAGCTTTTCTCGTTTTCTCGTTATTTTTGTGTTCTTTTTAAAAATCTACATCTTTAAAAACTAAACTAAAACCCACATACATGACGTTTAATAATACGTTCTGTACATAGTGAAAATAATACCTTTAAATGCAGTTTCCGGACTTCATGTATATGAAATTGAAAGGTAACTATCTTAAAGCAGTGCTTTTGTTAGCACATTAGTGTCTCCTATTTGAAGAGTTATCCATTCTATCGTAACAAGTCAGCTTGAGCTGGCACTCAGAATATTATTTTTGAGACTAATCAAAGGCAATGTCATTATACAATTCATAAATAAGAACAGGGTGACATGGTGGGGTACTGTACGTATTTTTCATAACAAGTTAGAATTAATTAAGTATTCTTAGAAGATGTTAGTGTCAAATAGAAATAAGTTGTTATGACCATTCCTGTTCGCAACCTAGTAAACTTTAAAATTCGAAATGCTGGAGGGCATGACGATAGGGGTAATCATATGCGACAAGCATGTTACCAAAACACGGGCGGATCATGTTTAAAATATAAACAATGATTAAACATGGACTTATTTTTAGTAAGAAATGTATGGTGTTACATATAGAGTGTTTTGGGATTTGACCCGTCTGGGCCTTGATTTTTAATATTTTTACGGTTCCTTTTTTAAACAAACATTTCAGCATTTAAAATCTAATTATGTACAACGAGGGATGCTATCTCTACTGCGTAATAAATACTAGATGATGCTATCAGAGGAGTGTCACAGAGGGGCAAGAATGTCTTTTTAAACCTATGCCTAGTAAACGCTTCTTTGCTTTTCTTTAAAGGATCAAACAAATCATCAGATTCCGTGCTATAATGAGTCCTTTGATTTTCCCAAAGAAAGAAATATACTGTCTAATAGTTTATTTTTCTTTCAGTATTCAAGAAAATTCCAAATTAAATCACGAGACCCATTTATATGCTCTACGTTATTTTAACCTATTTCACTGAAGATATACCCCAGGTTAATTATTCTACATTATTAATTTTAATATTCCATATATTGAAGGCTGTTGAATTTTCATTCATACCCTGGATATGACTGCTTATAAAGCTTACTTCGTGGGTAGTTTTCAGATGATCTTTTCGCATCAAATGCAGCACAGCGGTAGCACAAAAAGACCATGGACTCTGAGAAGAAAGCGACGCCGATTGTATTTCAGGTAGACTAGCGTTTTTTGCAAAACTATGTCTTAAAATTAACATACTGAAAACTGACATTTAAATCCACAACTCCATATCGCTAGATGTTCAATCAAAGATATTAAGCTAGAATTGAAAAGAATCTAATTTGAGTGCACCTTATCTTGATCTTCTTATGAACATTGAACTAGACAATAGTTTATATTGTAAGCTATATGACAAAAGAGATGACTTTAATTTTGACATTGTTAATTTTCCACATTTTGATAGTAATGTTCCACTGAACCAGGATATTATATAGCAGGGGGTGTTCAAGATACATAGGTTATTTCATGCTTGATTTTCAATAGTGTCAATATAATATTTACCGAGGTCAATGTCATATTTCCCGTGGAATAAAATTCATATTGAAAATCAAGCATGAAATAACCTTTTTATTCCATAATTAAATTTTTGAGAATTCAAGGAAAAAGAAATATTAAAGAAAATTGAAAAATTGAAAAGGAGTTGGGTAAACTAGCAACAGAGAGTGCCCCAATTGAAGTGTGAAAAAACTTTTTTTAAGAATAGGAGAAAAAAACATCAGAAATGCATAGATTGAAGTCTATATTTTTGGGTAGTATTTTTTAAAAAAATTAGAAAAAATTGTTACTGTGTCTGGAGACCTTCAAAGAGGGTGGGGGCCAGAAGGAAAAAAATTCACATATTTTGCAAACCTCTTGATGAATTCCAATTTACTCAGCTATGAATGAATGTTTTTGATTTATCTGACCAAGATTATGTAAATATATATTTATTTGATCCATACATACAATTGATTTAAACAATATGTACAGTTTAGAGGTAAGTAAAGCTTTGAAAGGACATTTCATGCTGAGTCTGGGTGACATTTTTATTCACTGGAGGTAGTAATCCTTTGAGTGTTTTCACATAGAGCATAACAAGTCTCCACTCTAATAAGTGCTTCTTTAGTTACATAAATGTTATATTGTTGCATACAAAGAATAATTTTGATGGAGACTTATTATGCTCGATGTGAATTTTAGGACTTTATAGAAAATTTTGCCTGCCATTTTTGTTGATTATTCAAAATGGCCAAATGCTATTCATGCTGCATATGTAGGAAGCAGGTAAATTCTCCTAGAAAACATCAAGTGGTTATATGTGCACAACATCTGAATCAGGTAGTTCAAGTGATGATGAGTAAAACTAATCAGAAAATGTTTCATTGTTATTTCATTAACAAGACAATGATGAAATGTGTTGAGATTTTAGATGTTTTTCACCTTTTAGGTCATCTCCAAGAAGTGATTATCTCCGTTATCTGTACTTACTGTTTCCTAGACATTATGAGAATGATTGATAGTAAACTTAATAGTTGCTTTAAAATTATGTTGAATAATATCATTATGTTGAATTATAATATATACAGTGTGTGTGTTTAGTGTGTGGTTTTTAGCATACCCTATGTCGCTAACAGGAAGCAGGACATATTTCTCATAAAAAATAAACATTACTTTACGAGTCAAATCATGAAATGTACATTCTGAATTTAAATGAATTAAAAATAATAAAGTATTTTCATTATTTTAGGTACTTTTGTTCTCTTTCAGTGTTGCGTGGGAAGGGCGGAATATATTAATATAAATATCTCATTATTGGCAAATTGCCAATTTACTATATATTGTAATTCCAACCTCTATGAGACTAAATTCCTACAGATATTTGTGATATTTTAACCAAAAAGGTATATTTTGGTAGAAAATAATGATTTTTTTTAATTTGACCTTGACCTGGGGAATATGACCTTGACCTAAATTTTCATACATTTTTGAAACACATATATCACATAGATTAATAAAATAAAGAGAAAACTTGAAAATCAGGTGGGGCTTAAAATGGCCTTGTTTACCCAACTCCTTTTAAAAAATATGAAAAGTTTCCAAAAAATGAAAATGTTTGAAAAAATGATTCAAAATTGAATTTTTTTTAAATAAATGAAAATCTTTGAAAAATTGCAATTTTTTGAAAAAATGAAAATTTCTGAAAAAAATGTTTTTTCGAAAATTGAAAAAATAAATTTAAAAAATCAAATTCTTTGGGAAAAAATGAAAAAATTGGAAAAAATGATTTTTTTTAAAAAAGAACCTTTTTTGAAAAAATAGGGACAATATGATTTTTCAAGTACATATGATTTTTTTTCGAGGGATAATATGATTTTATTTCCCAGGGAAAACAGTAGTATTATGGAATAAATATAGATATTAACTAAAGACAACATATTTTAGTGACCAAATTGTTACGTCAAGATAAGTATACACTAGTAAAAAACTCTAAAAAAATCCTTTCTGGGCTTTGCTGAAAAATATAAGTCTTAAATTATAAAGTTTCAAATTTTACCACGGGAGATGCTGAATGATGTTGGAATTGTTTAGGAATTTGGAATTCAACTCACAATTCACTTGGCACCTTTTAAGGTGGATGCTGTCATCGAAATCAGCCATAGTTTACTCCTGATGACCTTTGTGAGTTCTTGTGTTTTGTTGATTATGGCAACAGGTTTGTGAATCGATGTTGACCCTTTGAATTGCCTATTGACTTCAAGATTGGATTTCGTCTATCCCACATCATTTTAGACTGAATGCTCTGTTATGAGTATTGGCTATCAATTCTTTCAATTTCTTCTTCAACATGTATTGTAATGACTTCACTATGAATAAATGTCCCTTGGTGTTCTGGTTCTGGATTGTGATTCGTTTAGATGGATTTTTGTTTCGTTTACTCTTTATGAATTCTATTAATACGATCAGGTCCTATTAAAGTACTTCGCCGCTACAATGCCAATTGTGTTGATTCCTTTTGTCAAATAGGGGTCAGTTATTATAATGTATCGCTTAAATGATCTTCTAGGAATCCGAGAAGGCACCAGCTAAGTCCAACAAGAAATACGTCGTTGCTGCATTGGCACTGTTTATTCCACTTGTCACATTATGGAGGCAGTTATTATAATGTATCGCTTAAATTATGTTTTAGGAATACGAGAAGGCAACAGCAAAGTCAAACAAGAAATACGTCATAGCTGCAGTGACAGTTGTTTTGATTCTGGTAATCACACTAGGGGCAGTAATGGTGACTCTGAAACTCACCAATAGATTTGCCGCTGATACTATTAAGGTGAGACACAAAATATATGTCTATATATTACATTACTTTAGTATGAAGATTCCAAATATGACATCAGTTTGACTTAATTTTGAATATTTAATGAGGAAATCGAAGCTTAATACGACTCACATCTATACTATTTTCGTTCGCGCATTTTAGAGTAAAATCATGTTAAAATTTGAACTAGAACAAAACTTCAAGGCTTGAGTCATCCACTTCAAAAGTATATGTCAACATATAATTGCATGAAATTTTTGAATTGACGTATGCCGTTTGGTATACATCAATCCGTAAGTGTTTATATCCGGACTGCAATTACAAAAAGTCGCAAAATTGTTCAAACAAGCATTGTGAAAATGTAACAACTAATTTTTGCCTCAATGGTAAAATAATGGACTAGCATTTTTGGAAACAGAAAATATGTAAATATTAACATTTTACGTACACATTGCACAATTTCTGCTGTTGGCTCATAAAAATAATCATATTTTTATCAGGAGTATAGGCTGGCAAAGAAAGCTGTTGTTAAAATAGACAAGGAGAATGAAATAACAGAATTTGTAGATCCAAAAATGGGGTATTCTGCATACAACGATTTCAATTTGGTAAGATCTTGAATTGTTATGATTTTGTATTCAGTTCACGATTTTACACATTTTATAAGTCTATATCGTTCACAGTGTCCTGAAAAACTTTAATCGAACGTTAAGCAGATTTTGTGTTGTTTACTTTGTCAGAAATTTGATTAAATATTCTGGTCTAGTATTTTGACTTTCACTGAACGAAAACAAACACAAGAGACACCTATAATGCCAATCGGCGATTGGGTCCCTCTTGCACGACCTTATACTTTATTAGATAATGAAAATAAAATCTATTGATAAAAAAACAAATTTGAAAATTCGCAGGGAGCGGGGGATATCGCTAGATATTAAACGGTCGTGGGCATAAATATCTAAGATATTCCATTACATCATGTGACCTGGTATTGGCCAATCATATAGTTGCTAGTTAGATAGTAACATAATAATAAAAAATATTCGCAACATTTCTCTGTTTAAACAGTGAGTATTTAAATAATTGTATATAGGGATAAAAGAAGTGTAAATTCTTTCAGTTCAAAGTATCTTCTTATCTAGTGTTCAGGGACATTTTTAAATACAGGGTGTCCGGAAAGTAAAGATCCAAATGCTCTAATTTTCAGAGATTTACGTGTTTTGAGATCAAATTGCTAAAGAATGCTAGGAAAATTACTACAGTATAGTCAAAGCGTGTTACAATTATGGTTGTTATGGTAACCAGAGTTGGGTGTATGTGGAGCAACGTCACAGTTCTGTTTGATAACTCTTTTTCATTCTCATATCATCTGGGCAGTAATTATAATTATTCCAGATAATTTTTTTACTTGTCCAGCTTGTTGATTTTAATGAGTTAAATAATTTCAGGGGTTGACGATGATGAAAGTTGTAAGGAATGAAAGTTACGTATGCTATATAAATACTCTTAGCCGAGATTCCCTTTCGCCAGAGGCATTGGAGAGCTATATGGAGCACCACCCCGTAAGTTTAAAAACGCTTCATAACGTGTGAATTATAAACATAAATATCTTACAGTCAATACAAAAATATCACTTTCATTGTCCTTTGCACAATGGAATAAATTGTAGATACTATTATGTTAAGTCGTCCCTTTGTAAACGATTAATTCCAAGACTCGATGAACTGTAGATGATTTAAAAACACTGTATTTGAATGAGGTCTAGTATACAACTGAAGGTAAAATGGTCATAACTGTCCATTTGACAATTTGACATGAATAAGCACCTGCCTTGCTATTCCTGATGATACTTTTTGTATCTTTGAACTCAACTACCAACTTAAAATTGTGAAATAGATGAGCGAATCAGATACACTGGATCTAAAGATAGCCATGCATTATTTTGCTAGTTGAAACACATGTTTAGTACAAGCTTGTGTACCGCTACGCAGAGACATATAATTAATAGTTATATAGTTTTAAGTCCTACATTTTTATTTTACATTTTTATTAAATGTTCAACTTCTTGATTTCGATATGCAGTTAGAATGTGGAAATGTAATGTTAAAAGCTGCGTTTAAGAAACAAAATTGTTTAATTTAAAGGAATATTCCTTGCCAGACCCTTTCTCTCTTGATATGGTAGCTATAATCATATATATAGTTTCCATATTTAGTAAAACATGGGAAAATGTTTTAATATGGTCAATATTGATCATTTAAAAATCTAATGCTTATTTCCAGTGAGCTGCCATCTTTTAAGATTTCTTGCAGGAAGTGATGTCATCAACTCTCAACTTCTATAACCTTGCCCATAACAGTATAGGAAAGTAGCACAAAATCACTTCTAGACAAGTGATCATTACTTTCTGTGCAAAAATATTTTCAGGGCTTGTCAACTTAGAATAAAAGAAGAGATTTTCAGAAGGATCAAAAAGACACAATCTTTGACCATTTCAAAACATTTTTGCGTGTTTTGCTAAACATGGCAAGCATATATATGGTTATAGCTACCATATGAGGAGAGAGATGGTTTGGCAAGGAATATTCCTTTAATGATTTTTTGTGTTAAAGGATGGAGAGGATTTGATGTCTCCAAAGAAGGATGTTGATTTACCAGAATACATGCCAGCAAAAGAGGAAATCAGTGATCGGCGATTCCTCAGCGAGCACCTACGAGAGACATGCGAGGGGTTCCCCATTCATTGGCTTGTTCCCGCCCCAGCAAATGACTTGAACGGTAAATCTATAAATAACAGGGTCATTACCTTTATTAAGTTTTGTTAATTTAGGAATTCGTAAATCAATTGTTGTTGCCATGGGTATAATGACTGCATCCTTAGATTGGTCAAGGATGAGTGCAAAATATTTTCAAAAGTTTCTGATCAATTGTAATTTTAGGAGAAAATTGATAAAATATAATATATAGGTAATCAAGGTGAATTAACATTGCTATCCTTAAAATCATTTTTTATCATAGGGTTTAGGAAACAAGGGAAACAAGTGGAATGTGAAAAAGATTAACTTTTTGATGTATTTCTAAGGTCTTATCCTTGTCATTTTGACGCAAAAAAGCTACTTAAAGAAGGGCATGTTAATTTTAAAAGACATCATAATAATATAGGTAAATTTCATCCAAAGTACTTAAGAGTTGGTGAGTTAACATAACTTTGGAAGATCTTTCCAATGGTATATCACACTAGGTACCTTCTGTAAAGGTTTTAGCTGTAGCAGGGAGACGGGACTTATTTGACACCCTGTATATAATTATAGTTATAGTTGCATATCTCCCTCTGGATAAACCCCATATCCAAAACCTCCCAGTACATAACCCTTATTTATATATTCCCGGGAATAATTTCTCTGTCTTTATTTCGGATTATTTTATAATATACAGGCGACAAACTTCGGAACAGGGTCCGGGTCCATAAGCAACAAATTCGTGACCCTACTGTCCGTATGTTGCCAGTAAGCGAGCATATTGGTTGAAGATCACAGTAGAGTTTCCCATAGGGGGGGGGGTGTATAGAGGTTCCTTGAAATGCATATACAATATTTTTCAGCTCTCTTATACCATATACAATATTTTTTCACCCCTTTTATACCATATACAATATTTTTCACAGCTCTTATACCATATACGATATTTTAGGTGAAATACAATATACGATAGTTTTGAAACTGTTTTCGATTAAAGTTTGGATATTTATAAGGAAATAATATTATATTAGGAGAGAATCCATGTACTAAAGTAAATGTATTATTATAAGGCACATCAGCATCAGAAAAGCTGTGACCACATTTTATTTTCAGGTAAACAAGTTGATTTAAAACACATTTATGATATAAGATTCATGACTTCTCTTTAGTGATTTAACAACCAACTTTGACCAAAAAAACTAACTTTGACATTGCTGCAATTTGCTAAAGCCATTAGCCCATTACCTGTACAAGTACCATAAAGATATTCAAAATTAGCACAAAACCTGCATCATTGGAATGGGTGGAACCCAGTGCTCCTCTTTCTTATGACCTACTTTCCCATGACTTATTTAAATGTCCTTCATAGTGAGCCAGGAAAAAAATTCTTGAAACATAATTGATGCAGAATTGAGAATGTGGAATAAAAGATTCATCATGTGTTCTATGAAAAAAAAGTTTGCTGAGGAAAATATTTATCAGATAGATAATGAAGATCCACAATGCACAAAAATTTTGTAAAGCAGTTACCTGAAAAAATTAAGTATTGAAAACAGTTTCAGAAATAAAGGACTTCACAAACTTCCATGTAGATAATTCATTTTTGATTGGACTCGAGTCTAGAAACTAGAGTTTGAAATAAAGGCAAGATGAGACTTGATTGTTTAAACATTTGAAACAAGAGACACTTCGGGGTTTCAGATAAGGCAGCCTCAAAGACAGTATAAGTTAAACAAAGGTTTGTCAAAATTAAGCAAATTTCCGTGAAGGTCAAACCACATGTTTCACAAATGATTTCAAGGCAAATATGTATTGATGAGAATGAAAACTACTCTATGTAACTAGAAATACACTCTTAAAAATGAATTACTTGAGTATTTCCCAAGTATAAAAATTACTTAAAGTTAAATACTTAGTTTTACTTCATTTTACTTAGGTTTAACTTATATTGTCATTTTGAGTTTTTTAATTGCTAAATTATGTAAATGAGTATTACAATTACTTCAGTAAGTATTTCAATTTCTCTCCTTGCATTAGTAAATTCACCATGAATGAATTACTTAAAAATTACTTAAAAATTATTCAGTAGTTCAAGATTATTTAAGTAATTTTTGACTTAAAATGAGTAGTACAATTTCTCAATATAAGGATATCCAAGTAATAATTTTTAAGAGTGTAACTTTCTTTTATAGGACCACGGACGGTATCGCAACAGATTTCAGTCATACATTGGATTTTGGCTATTTTCTGAGGATTTGAACAGGTGCATATGTTAGGCCAATGCATTAACTCCAGGACAAGCAGTCATAGAGGTTATAAAATAATTTGGACTTTAAGACAGGGAAGGTGCAAACACCCCATCAACATGTTTTTTCTTTATTGTTGTCCTGATTTCCAGACCTTTCCACACCTGTTTTTTCAATGTTTGTTGCATCGATCACTATGTTGCGTTTTGAGACATGGTTAACATCTTTCAATGAAAATATGATTTATGCAGGGGTTTTAAAGATATCATTTTTGGATGACCAAAATTAAGCTGAAAACAATGGATCACATGAGTTTTCCCTATGGGAAAATAACATGAGAAATACATGTACTGTTTTCCACTTTATCCCAAATAAATCATATTTTAGAGGTTAACTGTGTCTCAAAGTGCAACATATTGGTGCATCAAACATTGACAAAACATATGTGGAAAGGGCTGAAAATAAGGACAACATTTCAGAAAAACCTTCCCTGTCTCGAAGTCCAAATTATTTTATAACCTCTATGAGTGCTTGATCTGGAGTTAATGCATTGGCCTAACATATGCACCTGTTCAAATCCCCAATAAATAGCCGAAATCCAACACATGACGGTTTGAAGACCAAATAAACACCTTTTGCTATATTATGCTATATTAGCATTGTGATGCTTGTATTAAAACATGCGCTGTATGAACACTTTATACTCAAATATTTTCATGATTTATCCCACATACCCCGAAACACGAGTAGCCATAGTGACCATATTTTTCATCAAAGTTAAGATGAGGCAATGACATTTGGCAGTCTCACGCCCGGTGATCTGATGAAATGAACGGAGGAGTAGCTGATTTTCGGTAAATTCAACAAATGTTGAAGATTTATTTTTTCAAGAAAAAGTTTACAATTGAATGGCTACATGAATAGGTGCAGTGCACAGGGAAATATGTTAGGTCTTCTTGGATTTTTTTTGAACTGATGGAGTTCTAAGATAAAAGGTCTATTAAAAAAGGCGCAGCGTCGCCAACGTGCAAATGCCAATGTTTTTGCTATAAATCAAGCAACAATGGTCTGCACGTCATGTAATAAATATATAAGCGACATTTTGATTACAGAATTCATTGCCTGTTTTTAAAAATAATTTTCCAAATGATAGATAGAAAATAATCGAAAATAATTAAAATTGAATGGAGGGGGGGGGGAGTGAACGGAGGGGGGGGGGGGGGCAGTAAAATGTCTTTAAGGTGGAAGAAATTTCCACAAATTCGTGTACTTGAAAAATGAACTCACTTACTCAGTAACTTGATGTTACAACTCTGAAAAGTGAAAAATGGGGACATATGGATTTATTGGAAGTTTTCATATGTCTTATAGACAAATTACTCCCCCCTCCATTCAATTTTAATAATTTTCGACTAACAGTATCGATTGACCTGGAATTTGAAACCAATTATAGAGACTACTTTTCCATGTTTTTCCAACACGGTTACAGTAAGAGAGTTGGCACAATGGGGGAACTTTAGGGTACAATTTCTTCATAATTAGCCTTCTTTAATTCTAGATACCATATACCATATATTTTCTATAATACCATATACCATATTTTTACACCTCTTATACCATATACGATAAATTTTGCCCCCTCTTATACAATATACAATAAATATTCAGCCTCTTATACGATATACCCCCCCCATAGGTGGCCATTATAACATTTTCCCTGAATCTTATTAACGATTAGTATCCAAGCCTAGTGCAACATACCACAGTGTTCGGGAGAGACTCGCCTAGCCTGCTATAACAATCTTACCATGGGTTGTCCACCGAATTTTTGAAATAAATAAACTTGAAGACACTAACCCCCTCTATCGTCAGATTTCTCAGAGAATTCTGGTAAAATCACCAAGGTCAAAATCACTCCGCCGCCAGCTTAAAATGAGATTTCCCACTGAACTCTGACATGTTTTCAGATAAATTAGGACCTACCCTATAAATATTTATTCCCGATTCACTTCCCAAACGCTAGATGGCGCTCCAATGGGGTAGGGAAGGAGAAAATGACTTTTTATTCAGAAAACCAAATCACTAACCGCTAATGTCCTTACTCAGGACTATATCCATTGACAATTGTGCTACTGGACATGAACCAAAATTCACAATTATGCCTTTCTTTAAATTTCATGAAGACGATATCGAACAAAGAATCGCCATGGAAAATCATTTTATTAACATTTTTCAACCCAAACTAAACAAATAAATTGTTTATTGGTTACTATACATGTAACGGTTAAATTGTACGTGATGGATAAATACTACTGACAATAATTAATTGTATTAATATTACGTCATATACCTTTTTACCTGTATATTTTTAAACCAGAAATAAACAAATAAATTGTTTATTGGTTACTATATAAGCGGATTATATTTATATTATGTCATACTTACCTGTATACCTCTTGTTCTCATTTTTGAAAAATCTACTGAGGAATAAAGAAACATGTTTAGATTTTCAAACGTATTTTATTAGTTCTTCTTATTTTTATTATATATATATAACAGTTATATAGCTAGTTTATATAGTTAGCTCAACACAGTGGGAGATATATAGGGGTTATGCACTGGGAGGTTTTGGATACAGGGAATATCCCGAGGGATATACAATATATCTTCCCGAGGGACCGAGGGAAGATGTATTGTATATCCCAAGGGATATTCCATGTATCCAAACCGACCGTGCATAACTGGTGTATCTCATACTTGAGTGGGTTTAGGGTAGATATAACATTTTCCACCTTTTTCAAATGACAAGATGTTTACATTTAACATTTTCGTTATATTCTTTTTGTTCAATACAATGAAATGGTAACATTTAAACTTAAAAAAAAAAAAATTTTAAATTAAAAAATTAAAACTTTTGATATTTAAACTTTTTTAAACTTTTGAAAAATTCCCGGGAGCGGGATGGATATATTAAATCTGCCCGCATTTGGCCTGGAGCGGGACATATACAATATATCCTGCCCGCTCCTCAGATACGATATATATTCCCGGGTAATATCTACCCCAAACCCACTCAAG